AAAAAAAAAAAAAAAAGCAACGACTTCAGAGTGAGGAAATGAGGCTGGTAACAGGGCAAATGCGTCAGACCTGCAGAGAGAGAGAGAGAGGAGGAAAGGGTTTGCGGGGGCTGCTCGGGCAGTGAGTCCTGACCTCCAGGTACATCCACTGCCTCTGCACCATGAGCACCATCTCGACGGCCTCCAAAATGAGGGAGAGGCAGCGCTCCCAGTGGTCCACTTCCCTCTCAAAGGCCTTGACGAAACGGGAAGCCTTCATGCTGGACAGGGCCACCTGGTTGTCCTCCAGTGCCTGGAACACCTCCTCCGTGCCTCTGTGGGTCGGAGGGGGCAGCGGGGAGGCATCCAAATCGTAGTCCGCTCCCACCTGCCAGCCCCCGGGCCCGGTCTGCAGCCCAGGCCACACGGCCCTGCCCTCGCCCGGCACGCCGAGGCCCTGTCTACCTGAGCCGGTGATGACCCTTGTCCTTGTAGGGAGCTATATCTAGCTGAATCCCATCCCAGGTCTTGGCGATGTTCTCTAAGGCCTGCGGAAAGAAATTGGGGGACAGAGCGATCTGGTAGTTAGTCCCCAAAGGGAACAGGAATGCGGAGGGGCCATTAGATCGTGGAAAGCCTGGCACGGTGGGGGGTGTCCCGGGAGCAGGGGGGTATGGAAGGGGGCTCTGTCATACCGACTCTATAGCCAGCTCTTTGGTCGCTGAGGCGGAGATCTCCCCAATTTTCTCCACGTGCTGGTCCATCCCGAGCTCCACAATCTGCTCCAGGGTGAAGCTCTCAGATTCCTGATCGAACTCCCTCTGGACCTCTTCCCTGACCTGGTCCCAGTGCCTGCAGCCAGGGACAGGAGGTCAGACCACGAGGCCGGCCGCGAGGGCCTACTGAAAAGCGTCGGCATCAGCCCACAGGCTTCCTTGCTCCCACTGGGACAGTACGATTCTGTACATGAATTGATTCGCGATTCAACAGATATTTATTAAACAGGCCCTAAATGCAATCTTAGGCTCGGTGGGGAAATACAGAGACGGAGCTGGTGACTCTCTGGAGAGACAGCTGAGACTGACAATGGCGGGTTTACCGTCGACAACAGGCAGGGCTAGGCGTTTTGCGTGAAACAGCTCATTTAATGCTCTCGACCCATATACACGCGGACTTTTAGATCTTCCGTCTGTACGTGAGGAAACTGAGGCCAGGGGGCGTTAAGCAAGTGAAGCGGTCAAGTTGTACTTAACCACAGAATACTGGACAGTGAAGCATGGCCCAGAAACACTACAATGGACACAATGCAAAAGAAGTATGATTACTTCCTTCTAGAGGAATAGATGATTGTTAAAATGCCTCTTATAAAACCATTTATTCCATCCTCAATGGCTGCAAAGCCTTCTTCTATCATGCAATGGGTTCCGGATGCATACAAAGTGTAAAAACTTGCAAAATAAAATTATAAAGTATTAGAAGAAAGTATGGAGAAAATGCATGTGTAACTCTAGGCAGGGGAGGTGTGTTGTTTTTTTTTTTTAAGTTTATTTATTTATTTTGAGAGAGGCACAGAGAGTGCGAGTTGGAGAGGGGCAGAGAGAGAGGGAGAATCTCAAGCAGGCTTCATGCTG